AGGGAAGGGAAACAAAAATATAAAAACAGGGAGGGGGACAAAACAGAAGAGACTCATAAATATGGAGAACAAACTGAGGGTTACTGGAGGGGTTGTGGGGTGGGGATGGGCTAAACGGGTAAGGAGCACTAAGGAATCTACTGAAATCATTGTTGCACTATATGCTAACTAATTTGGTTGTAAATTAAAATAATAAAATTAAAATTTTTTTTAAATAAATAAAAATAAAAGTAGGAATAGAAATAGAATCAGGAAGTCTCAGGAGGGAGCCACCATATTTTTTAACTCTGCAAAAGCAACAGAAGAGGGAGCTCTATGAAGTTAGGAAAGCCACTTGAACCCTATCTCCTTCTAAAAATTCAGAAAAGCAGATTTCACGTTAAAATGAGCAGTAGGAACTTAGCAGAATCCAACTCCATGTAAAATTATAAGAAGAGAGCAAGAAACAGAATAATATCCGTACAGTGAGAGCTGTAGAGATTCTGTGAGAATGTTTCTCAAAAACTACCACCACCTGTTTAAGAAAGTAATGTAAGACATGAAATGAGAATTAGAAAATCTCAGAAGTAAGTGACAAGACTCAGGCAAGAATTAGAGACATAAGAATTATTTCAGAAACGAAGGCTAAACGAGCAGGAACACAAGAATGAATACAAAGAGCAGATCATGCCTGAAGAGAAACAGAAGGTTAACGGAAGGACATTTTTAAACAATAAAAAATTTGAGAGATAAAAATGTTCCAAAAGAAAGTGTGATAAATATTAAAGATGGCAAAGAAGATCCAATACGTAGAGAGAGAGAGAGTGTGTGTGTGTACACAGGAAGGAAAAAAAGGGGGGAAAGAACAGACCTTAGAAACTATAGTTCAAGAAAACTTTACTCAAAAAAAAAAAAAAAAAAGATTTGAAAGTACATATTAAAAGTCCTTGTCAGTCCTTGTCAAGAATCTGCAGTACTGATTTCAGAGAGGAGGAAGTGCTGAGCCAATAAGATCCCACGATTGTGAGCATCTGACTTACCTTCTAGCAACTCCGTGAACAACCTTCCCTTTCCAGGGCATTAGACAACCAGAAGAGTATTGTGGGAGAAGCTGAACTAAGCTTCTATCCTAAAGGAGGATGCTAGGCTGATCTTGGGCAGACAGTAATTTTTCTCAGCATTTCATACTTGTCCTAATAACCTGCCTCTGACCTTAGTTACTTTTTTTCTTACAGCTTATCAAGAGAAAAATATTATTGTAGTGTTACATACAACTGGACAGTAGTGGTTGAATTAACAACTATGTTGTAGGTTTTTACAAAATAATAAGGAAAACATGAATAACAGGACAGTAAGCAAACAATGTAAGTGGCAATTCATCTAAACAAAACAAATGACCATTACAAATCTATAGAAAATATTCCATCTCTGCTTCATTGTAATCAATAAATGCAAATGCAAACAACAATGACATGGTATTTCCCTTTTTCTATTGCCCAGCTTCGTTGGTAAAGATTTAAAAAAAACAGCCCCCTCTTGTTAGCAGGGGTGCAAAGCTGGCATATTCTCACTGCTGGTAGGGGTGTAAACTGATGCAGTAAGGCATTTGGGCAGGACATAACAAACCTTTAAATGTTTTACACTTCTTCACTCCATAATTCCAGTTGTAAGAATTTGTTCTAAGAAAGTAATTAGTGGTACATACAAAAATGTGTTTTCAGGATGATCACCATAGCATTATTTATAATAGAGGAAAATTGGAAACAGTCCAAAGAAATGTCAACTAATAAGACATTGAATAGGTTCTGGTAGAGTCATAACGTAGTATTTTATGTAACCACCAAAAAGTATTTTTAGGATTATTTTATCTTTGTTTTGGAGAATGCTTTAAAAGAAATACTAATACTAAGTAAGAAAAGGAGATTGTCAAATTGGAGTATTAATTTTGTTTAAAAAAATATAGAAAAACTGTCTTGAAAAAGGAACTAGGAATAAATACATCAAATTATGAACTTTTATTTTTAACTGGTGAGACTACAGGTCATTTTTATCTTCTTTTTCCATTTCTGTATTTGCCAAGTTTTGCATATTACAGAGTACATGCATTCTATAATCAGAAAAAAAGGTGTCAATATTGTTAAAAAACAAAATTCAACTGAATAAATTTTAAAGATCTTCCTGACTTTATTCAGTGATTCATAAATTGGGCAGCCTCCAATCTAGCAGATAGAAAAGAGCTCTGAGGAGCTGAAGAAAAAGGACTCTTACGGAGAGAAGGAAGTAGGAACGAGGAAGTTACAGGAGGCAAAAAAGCAAGATCGCTATTGCAGGATTACTTTCCTTTAGTGGGTGGCAGGGGTCTATTATGCAGATTGTCTGACTTGTGCTGAGCTGGGAATTCCTGATAAACTGGTTTAAGATTCCGTTTCAGGGAGAGCCAAAACTATGAGTTAGTCTCCGTTTGGTGCCCTGGGCTTTAGCATAAGTGACTCCATTTTAAGCTTGCCATCTTTTTAACAATACAAAAAGAAAGAAAGAAATCAAGCAAGGATACTTTTGAAAGTAAGTTCTTGGTTTCTTGTCTTTCCCAGTGTTCTCCCCACATTTATGTGGTGAGTGTAAATATGCAATTTTCTCTTAATATACTGTTTTATTTAAAAAAATTTTTTTAATGTTTATTTTTGAGAGACCGAGCGTGAGCAGAGGAGGGGCAGGGAAAGAGTGAGACACAGAATCTGAAGCAGGCTTCAGGCTCTGAGGTGTCAGCACAGAGTCCAACGCTGGGCTTGAACTCACAAACTATGTGATCATGACCTGAGCTGAAGTCAGATGCTTAACCGACTGAGTCACCCAGGCACCCCTAAATATACTGTTTTAAAACACTAATGTTACCCTGTACCCTGCAAAAGTTAAGTAATGGATATGACCTGAATATCATCATAAATTTTCTACCCCAAAATAAGGGCAGGAGAAATAACTTTATTTATGCTTATTATAGCTGGCCAAATATTGGAGAAAAGAAAGTAGATGGGATAGGACCTTGCTGTGTTTGGAGTGGAGGCAGAGTCCTGGATTCTAGTCCTAGGCTTGCTGCTATCATTGTGTAAGACACTGGGGTGCTTAGAACCTCAGTGTCCTCATCCCCAGATGAGATCATAGGGTTGTTTTGCAGATCAGATAAGGCTAATGGTCAAGAAAGCACTGTACCACTTAACTGTAAAATGTAAACAAGAATTTTGAAGCTGCTTTAGTGGTTAAAATCAGTTTCAGCAAAGACATGAATGACATCTTTTGTTTTTTTCTTCATCTTCAGGAAATCCGGCAACACCAAAACCAGCACCCGGTACAACAGGCACTTCCACCCTATTGGTTGCAACAGCAGTCCATGCGTATCGATAGTAAGTAGCTGAGAAGGAGTGCTCTCTGCAGTTGGGGTTAGGTGCCCATCTTTTCTCAATAAGCCTCTGTTCATTGTGAAATAAACTGCAGTTAGGCTGCACAGTCCTTCCACAGGCAAAGTATCAGTAATGCTTTTGAACATTTCAGTTCGAGAATTCGGTATGTAAAACCCTGAAAAGCCATTATCTTGTATACCTTGTGTACTAAGAAGTGCTTGTACCCTCAACAACTGCCTTCTTAAGTGCTGAAAGAAAGCCACTTCACTGAGATATTATGAATAGATATTTAGAGAGTAAAGAAGTTGTAGAAGAGATTTAAATTACGAACTGCTCACCTGTGTGGTCTTCTTGAGACTGAATGACTAGATTCCCCACTTCTACATGGCAGAAGAGAAAGCTGAGTTTAAAGAATTATTAGTAATACCTGTTATTTTTCTTGCTTCTCTAGCACAAATGGTCAGTATGTAAAGCAGGGCAAGTTTGGTGCTGCAGTCCTGGGGAACCACGCAGCCAGAGAGGTGAGAACTCTTGTGTGTTTTCAGGTGTCCCAGATCATACTGTTGAGCTGGTTTGTACCTACGCTTGCCCAGTGTCTCACGTATCAGAGGATTAGAATGATTGTTTGTTTGTATTGAATGTGAATTTTTAATACAAGGTACATAGTAATAGTTATAGTCCTGTCTTGCTTACTATTGTGCATTAAAACAAAGCAACCATTCAGTCTTTTAAGTTTGACCTTTGTGTTAGGAACTAGCTTAAGACTTTGGAGAGTTTTAGAGTAAACCATTTACTAAGGACAATCCTTTGTTAGGTAATGAACAACACTTAGTGTTCTACTTAGAGCATTCTGTCTTTACACCTGAATTAATGACTGGTGTTTATCCTTTGAAAGTTTGACAATGAGTTGGGTAGTTGATCACACAGAATACTATTGGTTTGGATCAAAAAGAAGATATGGCTAGCAGCCCCGAGACTTGATTTCCTTGTGTGGGTTGTCTCTAGCTTCAAGTTCTGCTCCAGAACATTTTAAACGTTGGTGAGAGCAGCCTAAGAAATTATGGAATTTCAGAGGTCCAGTGAACTAAGGGCCATGCTCCTGAGACACTCAGAGACCTAGATAAGATGGCCTGTTCAGGTAACTAATGTAATAGACAACACTCATTTGTATTAAAAACAAACAAAAAAGTCTAACTGGAAATTTGGAAACCCACATAAAAATCGTGGGACTAGAATAATGAACCCCCAGAAACCCATTACTAGGTTCTAACAGTTATTAATCTTGTTCCATCGTTTTCTTTTTTTTTATGTTTATTTATTTATCTTGAGAGAGAGAAAGAGCGCATGCTAGGACGGGGCACAGGGAGAGAGAGAATACCAAGCAGGCTCCATGGACAGTGTCACAACCATGAGATCATGACCTGAGCGGAAACCAAGAGTCAGACACTCAACTGACTGAGCCACTCATGCTCCCCTCTTCTTAGTTCATCTTAATTCCAGCCTGTCTTCCTTCTTCTTAGTCTTATTTTGACTACATCTCCAGCATACAATTTTACCTGTAAATACTTTAGTATATATCCCAAGATCTTTTTCCTAACATAACCATTATTCAATTATCACCTAAAAAAACCCACAATAATTTTTTGATCTCATTCACTACCAGCTAGTGTTCAGATTTACCTGATTCTCTCTCTCTTTTTTTTTTTTAGTTTGTTTTAATCAGGATCTAATAAGGTCCATACATTGTAGTTGGCTACCATGTCCCTTAAATCTTTCATTCTCTCATCCAGAGGTACATAGTGTCTAACTATCCCTGATTTGGTTATGTAGTAACCATCCATGATTATTATCCAGATGTATTAATTCATTAGGAGTTGCCATTGGATTTTAAAAATCTGGTATTGAGACTCCACCAGCCTTCAGCCCCGATAAGATGCAGTAGGTTATGGCAAGCAGCAATTCCCACTGCAACAATTGTAAAAAAGCAGATAAATTGCAAATATTATATTTTAAAATTCACTGGAGAGCTCTAGAAAAGATGTGGACTAGAGGAACTAAAATTTCAAACAGGGAAAAGCCTATGAGCCAAGTATTTCCTTCTCTTGGTTCTTTTGCTGATGTGCCTAGGGGTGGACCAAGCATCAGGTATGGCCCAATCAGAGAGACCTCTTGGGGGAAAGAGATACTGCCAGAAGCTAGAGGAGCTCCAAACACAAGATTAGTTTTTCCCCATGGGACATTTGCAGAACTCTGGGGTGGCGTGGAAGTCCAGGGGCTGTGCCAGAAAGGCAGAGGGAAACTTCTGTCATCTTGTGGTGCATAGGAGATAAAGTCCTACTGTAGGGGGAGTACCTGTAATAAGCAGCAAGCAACAACTTTCATCTCAATACATTTGCTAGATTTTGAACTTAAGGGGGAGGAGAACCCAGCTCAGAATGTCTGATGGGCAGAACTTTCAGGACCAAGGAGTCAGAGACCTTCTAGGTTCTTAATCAAAAGTCAGGGAAGATAATGCTTGAGATAGAGACAACCCAGAGGTAGATCAACTCTTGATAAATCTATGAATCTTCCCTAACCAGTTCAGCCTATAATTGGATTGGATTGAGGTGATCAGCCCCTCACTCTATCTGCCTAACATAGGATAAGGAAAGTACTTTCTGGTACCAGATTGTATGTGAGCCCCCAAGTTCTTCCCTCCCCTCTGGAATTGAATTGTAATTATTTGCTTAACTATGATTTTGTGTGTATGTGGGGGGGGGGGTGGTAAATATAAATGAAACGAAATATTTTCAGGAGCACCTGGGTGGCTCAGTCTCAGTTAAGTGTCTGACCCTTGGTTTTGGCTCAGGTCATGAACTCGCAGTTTGTGGGTTCCAACCCCATGTCAGGCTCTGTGCTGAGAGTGGAGCCTGCTTGGAATTCTCTCTCTCTCTCTCTCTCTCTCTCTGTCTTTCTGCTCGCTCTGTCTTTCTCTCTGTGAAAATAAATAAAATTATAAAAATTAAAAAAGAAAATATTTGCCGTTTTAACCATTTTTAAGTGCACAGTTCAATAGCATTAAGTACATTCATGATACTGAGCAGTGTTCACCACTGTCTATTTCCACTTTTTCATTACTCCAAACAAAAAACTCTGTCACCTTTAAACAAACTTCCCATTCTCCCTTCCCATATCCCCTGGTAATCTTTAATCTTTTCCTTTTTTTAATACTTATTTATTTTAAGAGAGAGGGAGGAAGAGGGAGAGGCAGAGAGAGAGAGAGAGAGAGAGAGAGAGAGAATCCCAAGCATGCTCTGTGCTGTCAGTGCAGAGCCTGACGGGCTTGATCTCACAAACTGTGAGATCATGACCTAAGCTTAAACCAAGAGTCGGACACTTAACTGAGCCAACCTGGCATCCCTCTAATTTACATTGTCTCTATGAATTTGTCTATTCTAGATATTTCATATAAGTGGAATCATACAATATTTGTCATTTGTCCTTTTATGTCTGGCTTATTTCAATTAGTGTAATGTTCTCAAGATTTATCCGTGTTGTAGCATGTTATCAGAATTTCATGCCTTTTCAGGGCTGGATAATATTCCGTTGTATGTAGGTAACACATTTTGTTTATCCATTCATCAGTTGATCGACATTTTTGGTACTTTCTCCCTTTCAACTGTCATGAATAATGGTACAGTAAACATTGGTGATTATCTATTTTCAGCTCTTTGGGGGATGCGCTAAAGGTGAAATTGCTGTCTCTTATGGTGATTCTGTTTAGCTTTTTGAGGAGCTGCCAGACTGTTTCCACAGCAACTGTACTGTTTTACATTTTCACAAGCAGTATGTGAGGGTTCCAATTTCTCCAATACCTTGCCACTGTTTCATTATTTTTCCTTTTTTAAAAATGGCCATTCTTGGGGCGCCTGGGTGGCGCAGTCGGTTAAGCATCCGACTTCAGCCAGGTCACGATCTCGCGGTCCGGGAGTTCGAGCCCCGCTGAACTGGGCTGATGGCTCAGAGCCTGGAGCCTGTTTCCGATTCTGTGTCTCCCTCTCTCTCTGCCCCTCCCCCGTTCATGCTCTGTCTCTCTCTGTCCCAAAAATAAATAAATGTTGAAAAAAAATTAAAAAAAATGGCCATTCTAGTTGGTGTGAAGTGGTACTTTTTTGTGGTTTTAATTTGCATCTCCCTAATGACTAATGATGTGGAGCATCTTTCTATGCACCTGTTGGCCATTTGTAGATCTCTTGTCACCCCTCATACCAATGGAAACACCGACAAAATAAAGACATTGCTAATTACAGTAAAAGAATAAGGCCAAAATGAGAAGCAATTAAAATGGATATAATTTAAAATCGAAGCTTTCAGCAATCAACTGAGTTTTGAGTTTCATGCCTCTTTGAAGCACAGCCCCTGACATCTTACTGCTGATTTTGTATTGCCTTTTAACTTCTGTTCTATTTTTTTTCTGCCTATCTTTACTTGAATACAGTATAGGATTCTTCTTTATATCAGTCAACAACAGCCAGTTACTGTTGCCAGGATTCATCTGAACTTTGAGCTCATGGTAAGACTTCCCATGTTGGAATCATTAGCTCCTTTGGGAAGGGTTTATAGGAGAGATTGGTCTGTGCGTACCTGGTAGGAATTAGATCTACTATTTCAGCCCCTGGACGTCTGTGTGGATGTCTTAACAGAGCCTGTCAAAAAAGTCTCTTGCCTGCCTTCTGGGAAATGGACCAAGGGTGGTTGGTGGAGGGCAGGAGGGAAGAAGAAAGTTCCCTATGTCTCTTTGGGTCCACTTCAGTCAAGGCCCTTCTCAATGAGTTTAGGCAGTCAGATGATGCACTGCGCTACCTGTGGTTGGGTTATCCTAGTATCTCTCCTTTCCCCAGGTTCGGCCCAATAACTATAGCACCTTTTATGATGACCAGAGACAAAACTGGTCCATCATGTTTGAGTCGGAAAAGGCTGCTGTGGAGTTCAATAAACAGGTAAAACCATCTTATTCTTACTGGGAAAAGCCAAACACTAGTTTGGATTTCTCTTGATTTAGGAAACTATATGGAAAACTTATAATCTGCTATGTGTTGTTAGTGACAAGCATAAAAAAAAAACCCACTAAATTTGTCACTTGAGCTTATTGTGGCTCAGAGAAGTAATAGGAATGTTTATTGAAATTGCTTGAAAATGTGACTTTCAGAGCAAAAAGGCTTAATGCAAACTTCTTTCAAACATTTTTCACTTTATAAATTATTTTAAGGGATAAATAAAACTATCTTTCAAAAATAGTGTTTCTTTTTTTTAAATTTTTTTTTTCAACGTTTATTTATTTTTGGGACAGAGAGAGACAGAGCATGAACGGGGGAGGGGCAGAGAGAGAGGGAGACACAGAATCGGAAACAGGCTCCAGGCTCTGAGCCATCAGCCCAGAGCCTGACGCGGGGCTCGAACTCCCGGACCGCGAGATCGTGACCTGGCTGAAGTCGGACGCTTAACCGACTGCGCCACCCAGGCGCCCCTCAAAAATAGTGTTTCAAAAGAACTTTTATAATGTTATATGATCCTTGTAGAAAATTTAGAAAAGCATTTTTAAAAAAATCACTTGAAATCTTAGTGCCCGAAGGAGCCACTATTAATATGTTAGATTTCTTTTTTCTTAAAAAAAAAATTATGTATTTATTTATAAGGGTTTTTTTTTTTTTACCATTTTAATTTCTTTTTGAGAGAGTGCAAATGGGAAGGGGCAGAGAGAGAGGCAGACACAGAATCCGAAGCAGGCTCTCAGCTGTCAGCTGACATGAGCC